AAATTATTTATCCCTGATGGTTACAAATTGTTGTAGCGATTTTAAAAAATAAAATGATACAAAATTCAAAGGTATTAAAAATACTTAAGTACATTTTTAATGAATTTCCATTTAACATTAAATAAAATATTAAAACTCAAAATTATTACAGAAAAAATGGCCAAAATTTTAGCATCTAAAATTGTGTATACAATTCAATGTACTAAATTTAAATTAAGATTGTAAAATAAATAAAAATTACATTGTATTATTCTATTTTCATTTCTGTCATTAGGAATCTCAAGCTGTCATTACAATTCTTATACAAATTTTAAGATGTATGCGCTTAAGATGCATTTTCATATGTTTACAAATTTTAAGATGAATGGTAATAGTATAGTTTAAGATGTATGGACATTTTTTTTATTTTACCCTGCAGCATAGCTGCCAACTCTACTGGATCTGCCAGCAGACTACTGGATTTTGCCATTTTCTTCTGGCTTCTCTACATTTAGATCTATAACTTTTGTACATTTTAGATCTATAATTGAGTTTTCAAAAAATCGCCCATTAAAAATGAGATTTTACTCAATTTATTGCTTGGTTGAATATTTTAAAAAGTATTACTAATACATAATGAAATGGACCTCGCAGGAATCAGTTTCAAGCTTTTCTTTTTCTTTGCTCTAAAAATTTGTTTCTTTTTTTTCAGAACTCCCTTTTTAAATTAAATCTTTTAACTGTCAATAATTATTTACTTGTCTACTACTATTTAAAATTATGAGTTAACATAAAAAAATTTCGAATTCATTTAATGCCAATCATAAAGAAAAAATATTGCAGACCATTTATAGACATTATGGTAATAAAGTTTTTGTATTTTGATGACAATAAAAATCCCTAAAATTCTCTATATGTAAAATATTTAGTATATTATGGAGCAGTTACCGTGAAATTTATAATATTTCTTATCCATCTTGATTGCTGTTCTGCAGGAAACAAAATATTGTTACTGCTGTAAAAACTTTTATATATTTTGTACAAAGACTTATCTAATATAAACTAATCAGGAACAAAAATTTTCAATAATGTTAAAATAAACTCATAAAGGGTTAGGATGGTAATAGCAGCAATAAAAATAGTTCAATTTACTTTATTCAATATACCAAAGCAGGATTGCTAAATATTTCCATACAAATATTCTTTTTTCGTTCTAAATCAGCTGCCACTGAGAATAAGTGTTAAATGAGTTACTAGTGGCCATGAAACTGTTGAAAAGGCTAGGAAGTCAAACTCAGTGCAAAAGTATTTTTAATATTTGTGGTAATCATAGTTTTTTTTTCCTTCATGATCAATTTTAATTTTTATTTAANCTAGGAAGTCAAACTCAGTGCAAAAATATTTTTAAAATGCAGTGAAACATAAGGAAGAGGCTTAAAATTTTTAATATTTGTGGTAATCATAGTTTTTTTTCCTTCATGATCAATTTTAATTTTTATTTAAAGAATGGATAGAGCATGAAAGACCTTTTAGTATTTATATTTATCCTGATTAAAGGAAGGTAGCATGTAGCTCTGTAAAGTGCATGCAAATGACGAATAAATCAAGCAGAAATTAGATGAAAATACTTCTTTCTGTGTCTCCTGTTAACAGGACATTAAATAGCACAATTCCAGAAAAGCCGTTCCCAATTTTTTTTTTTTTTGGCTATGAAGCCCTAAATGATTAAATAGTCCGGTAATAATTAGGGTAAAAAACTTTATTTTTATTTTAAGCTTTTAATATTTAAAAGGAGAAAAACATTTTTTTCATCGTTTTATATTTAATAATCNATTATGGTAAAAAACTTTTTTTTTATTTTGAACTTTTAATATTTAAAAAGAGAAATACATTTTTTTCATCGTTTTATATTTAATAATCTTAATTTAGGTTTTACTCGTATGTTTAACAGTTGAATATACACTGTCTTAGAGATGAATCTTGTCTAATTGAAGATTTGTTTTTATATTGCTATTAAAAACTGTTTTTAAGTGTTGAAAATAGTTATTAGGGAAACATATTTCTTTATTAAAAAAAATTCTGTTATTTTATTTTGATTTGAAAAGCGCAATGTTAAATACTACAGTGTAACGTCCCATATCCGGACGTCCCTTTTCCATTTCCCGGACACTTTTTAACAATCAAAATAAACAAACATTTCTTCATCTTCCCCACTCTCTTAAATNATATTTTTTTAAAAATTTTCATTTCCCATTTTTTGGCATATTACTTTAAATATAATGACGGATTTCAAAAACTGTTAAAAAAGTCTCAACTGTCAGAACTCTTTCACGGAACCCCTAACATCATTTGGAAACCGTTGTTCTAGAGTGTGATCCATATATATATATTTGAATTTGCAAACTATTTTTAATGTATTTTAAGATATTTTAATGAGAACTCCAGCCAACTGAATCCATGAATTGTATCATTAAGAATGAGCCATAATTACGTTATTAAATAATATTAATTAATTGAAATAACTTTCATCTTGAATCGAAACAAAGATATCTCACTTGTACAATGGCCATCCTTATACATGAAAATATTCATTTTTATTTTATTTTATTTATTTCAAACGATTGACGGTGAACAATTTTGGTTATGGATAACTTGGGCTGAGATCCTAAAGTATTTGAACTCAGTTAAAACTTTTCATAGTACTGCCCTGATATCTTTTGTCCGGTCATTCTTGACTAGCTCTCTGTCAATTTACATAAAGTAAAGCTGGGATTTCAATATTGAACAAAATTAGTCATGAAATGTCATGACTTTAACTTTTTAAAAGAAGAAAAATCATGGAAAGTTCATAGATTTAGGTGGCCAAAAAATCATATTTTTTTAAACGGAATCCCCCTTCCCCAATTTCACAGATTTCCTATACTCCAAATATCTGAATTAGTAACAAAATCCCCACTCACAGTCAGATTTCAATAAGATATAAAATATTTTTTTTTCCTTTCCTGTTCTTTATTAAATTATGGTGTTCTTTCAAAAAATGAAAGAAAGAACAACATTTCTAGAAGGAATTATCTTTTAAACTCCAGTGATTCAGAAGGGCTTAAGGATTTTGAACTATAATTTCTTTTTAATAAAAAATAATTAGGAAAGAATAAAATTATTGCTTGACAGTGGTTATAAATGAAATATTTTTCGACTCTTGCGCAGTGATACTGAGATTTTTTGGTTTAGGCATTGTTACAGAAATCTACCTATTAAATTTTAGACCTATTAAAATGTTTTTAAATGATTTAAGTCTTAAAGAAATATTCAATGCTAATAGGTTTAAATTTAGTGTTTTCAATGTAAAGTTTAACTTTTTCTCTCTTATAATTTTAGCTTCGTCTGGGCTGCTGGATAATGCAAATGGAAAATGACATTCTGGTAGAATACGAGGACCCGTAAGTTCAATCCTGACAGAAAACAAAACAACTGATGTGTATATGCTGTTAGATTCTCTTTAAATCTGCCGGAGCTGAAAGTCCTCTTGTTGTTGTGCAGAAGTTTGAAGAAAGGCGTATCTCTGTGTGATTCATCCCTGCTGTGTGTTTGTTTGGTTGCTGACAATTTTATAAAATCTTTCAATAAAGCAGATTCATCAGTTTATTGCTCTGATATATAGTTGCACATAAACAAAAAATTGCAATTGAAGGGGAAAGAACTGCATGAAATAAATTACTGTAAATATTTGGAATTCTTTTTATTAGAAAATAATAATAAAAATGATAACACATAGTCCAACTGTTGCTTTTTGCAATAAAAATTATTTTGTTAAATGACAAATATGTGTTCTTAAGGATTATATGTTTATATTAAACAATGACGGTAAGAATATATTGCTTTTATAGTTGAGTGAAGTTTATATTGTGTTTTGTTTTAAAATAAAAAAATTAAATTGTGAAATAATGTTTGTCATGATTTGGTTTGATTAATTTTTTTTATTCTTAACTACTGCATTCTGTAATTTATACAGCAACTTTATAATAAATCTTCAAAATTTTAGAAAATGGGGTAGACAGATATGTGCTCATTAATAAAACTTAAAAAGTTATAATGTTTGAAATTTTTTTATAGTCATGATAATAATGTTTAAGTATTTTGAAATTGGATGAAGTTAAAATTCGGTTTCTTTAAAATTTGCAACATATCGGAAACAATTTAATTTTAACATCATTGTTAAACATTAACTCCAGCTTATGAGCATTTATACTACTAGCATTGTATTTTTCACTTAATTTTGAATTATTAAGTTCAAATTTAAGATAAGAAGTGAATATTTTTATGATGTTAAAATAACGATAATAGTAAAAATTTCTTTGGCTTAATATTCAAAATTTAGCTGAACATTTATTTACATTATTGTTAAAGCAAAAAATTTAAGCCAACGTAGAGTAGAATCTTGTTTGTTTAAGTTTTCATCAGTAAGGTTCGTTGCAAAGCAAGTTTTTACATGCATAATATAGTTTTTTTTATGGCTAATTGATCAATACCAGAAAATTGACTCTAGCATCTGCTTAATTTTTTAAAATTTATTTCCTGAAAAGCTCTGTTTAAAATGTTTACATATTACACCTGCTTTTTTCTAAACTTATTTATGTCATAACGCATAATCTATAAT